GGTAAAATAAGGACATGGGAAAATGTCTCAATCTGTCTCTCTTTGACTAAAAAGTTTCCGTCTGAAAATTTATTCCTCAGAAAAAAGCAGGACTTTGCTAATTAACTTCATTCTGGGCCCTTGAGTGAAATGACGACAACCCAACTATCAAATCATGAAATACCAAGAAAAACAGGATTTCGATGAATCTATTGAGATTAAATTGTTAGGGGGGCATTCCTTTCGTATGAAAGTGCATGAAGAAGAGATTCGTTGGTCGAACTCAACAGATGAGGACGGATAAATCTCGTTGTACTGCAGCCGTTTGGCCGTTTATACGATATTCATGTTGACGAAGTCCACGAGACTTCTTCCCTCGTTTGGGTGAAAACGTGCTTAACTTTCGTCCATCTTATGATGGACATCATCAGAGCTGGGTTTCATTATTGGAAGAGTATCACGTTAACAATAAAGCAAGAACACTATCCGGCTCTGTCTTACTTCTTATATAGACTCAATTGAGTCATATAAAAAATAAAAACATAGATAGATCTATATAGAGTGGTTTGGTTAATTATCTTTCATACTGGTCCCGTTACTTTTGTTCGAGTGTATGAGTATGTGTATGTGTGCGTATTAGCGTCTACATGCGTCAACATGAATATAGTATAAAAGCCAAACGGCTGCAGTATACCGAGATTTATCCGTCCTCATCTGTTGAGTTCGACCAACGAATCTCTTCTTCATTCACTTTCATACGAAATGAAGGTCCCCATAACATGAAATAACAAACTAAAAACGTGAGCCTGAGGTAGTTTCCAAATCAAACTATCACTATTAGAGCGTGGGCTATGGCTCTCGGAGTCCTCTGCCTTGTGTTCTGATCAAAGCTAACACCAAAATGGCCTCACTGACGGGTGACTATATCCTGCCCTCAATTAATCTATGGAACAGGGTTAAATACTTGGCAGACAACATGAAATTTGAGTCACAAGTCACACTTACTTGGTCCGACCATCACTCCAAACGGAGAGTTGGGTATCTGCTGTCCTGAGAAGAAGACGTTGACGGAGTGCAGACCCTCCTCCTTCGGTGTGTACTCAACCAAATAGTTGTCCTCTCCCTGGCGAGTGATTAACGGCTTGAGTGCATTGGGCCGGCCTTGAGGATCCAGGATTACACAGTCCACATTTCCTGACCCAGCGCCTTAAAAGTGCGACAAAGTTAAAAATGGCTTCTTTTAATTGCAAATCGCATAAATATAGTGACACATAGGTCTTGGTTACGTGAACTTCAAGATTTAGCCCAAATGAGCATGTATGCTAGGCTACGTTGTCATCCCCAAAGTGACTGACACTGTGGCTAGAATGTTGAGGTCGAACTTTGCTTCCAATACATCATTTACAATGTCATAGACTATATGAAGGGCAATTAATCAAAAATTGTTGGCTGATGAGGAAATAAGGTAAAGATAAAAATAAAGTGGAGTAGATAAATGTAGATGTACTGCTTACTACAGGGACTACATCTTTTTCCGAGCGATAATGCTCGGGAGTGGTTTTGTAGATGAAAATTATTTGTCTAAATGGTATCAATAAAACTCTCTGCCTCCACTTTCCCTCGACTATTTTGATGACCTTCTCGCGAGAGCTTCGAGCGTAGACTATACGAAGACTCCATAGACGCTTTTGGAGTCTATTATTGTCATAAAGAACCTTTCTCATTTGAGAGAGCCCAAATTGTAACTAAACAAGCCATGGATTCTGTTATTCGCCGAGGAGATTTTCCTAGGAATTCCACTTTCCCTTTTCCGACCAACATTCAGTAAAGTGTGGCACGTTAAAAAATAGTGCCGCTGCGTTCTAAAGCCGTTATGGCATTAAGCCTATTACTTAAGCCTACATTTACCAATGAAGGATGCATCTAGCTTGGAAGGCTTAACAGAAGACCATTTTTCTTGCAGCTAGACACAGAGATGAATGTATGTATTTACTGGGAAGAGGGAGGTGTCTTCTCCTTATACTCTTGTACTTCTTGCATATTTCTTTTATATTTCTTCACAACTCAACCAAAAATTACATATAGTAGGACAGATGGAAGGATACACAGATATAAATTAATATACGAATGCTTTGAACAAAAGAATGATAATGCTCATTGTGATTATTATGGGTTTACACTGTAAAATGTTGATAAGCGAGTGCGAAAGCAACTAATTACTAAAAATGCTATAAAGCCGTATGAAGAGTAAATAAGGATTTTAGCAAAATGATATCAACGTTAACAGATAATTATTTTTATCAACAAGATTTTGCCAAACCTCTTAAACGATAAACCAGCCTTGATAAAGCAGCACCATTATGAATTCCATCGTATCAAAATCAACACAAAGAGGGCCTCTACCACAAGGAAAATGGCAAAATGAAGCCAGATGCAGGGGACACAGAACACATAGCCAACATTATAAAACAAGTTAAAGTGAAGTTGCCAAATAAATTACGGTGCAAAGATGAGTAAAAGAACATTAGCTTCTCGAGATGGGGCAAATCTTGAATAGTCACTTTGCCCTTAATGATTGGCTTTAGCAAGCAAGCAAAATGGGCTTTGTAGGGAGGATAAAAAGAAAATGTGAAAGAGATAAAAATGGACTCCTAATAAATTAGTTAACATCAAAATACAACAGTAAATTAGTTAAAAGAAAATCACTTAAAAACGTACCATCATCGTTGTATTTGACTGGAAATAGATTGATTAGATGGCATATAAATAGATTGTAAGAGTCGTTTTATACAATTACCCATGGCATTACTAAAAATATATTATGCTATATTTTGTAATTCCAATGGAAGATTTTTTCTTGATACAAATAAAATAACAACCTCTTATGGCCGAGCCTCGGTTTGAGAACGGAAGTGCAGACCATTAAATGGATAGATAAAAAAATAAAGAAATGTTCGACCGTTATGCTACATAAATACAAGTCAAGTGCGAATAGGTACAGCCAACTTATGCACAGAAAGAGCACATATACATGGAAGTTCCGGTATTGTCGCACAAGATAAGCAGGGTAAATCTTTCTGGATAACTGGGCAGGTATGAAACTCTGCATATGATGTTAGGTTTTGACTTTGACTAATTAAAAATCGCTGACAGCCTGTCATTTTAATGAAGTATGATTAAGTTCCTTCATGACTTATTCGTGTGTTCTAGTAAAAATAATGTTAAACATATTCCCTACAGTTGGCCTTTGATATAAAGTTGAGTATTCTCGATTTGAGGGGTTTGTAATTAATAGTAAGGATTCATTCAGGAGTATGCATTTTCAAACTTACCTGCTGTAAAAATGTTGAAGAAGGTCCTTCGGCCGACCTGATTGCCCTGTGGCTCAAGACCTGGCCCCGAGGCACTGGCTTTGCTGGCGTCACCGGCCGCTCCTTCCACCATCACCTTAAAAGGTGAGTTGAGTATCTCTTTGGTAGCGAATTTAATGATGACTCGATATTCGCCTTCTTGGCTGGGTACATAGGTGCATGAGTAAGTTTGATTCTGTTCGTTTTTATTGATGATGTCACACTATGACGAAGCATGGAGAAATAAAAATAAGTTATAAGCAAAAGTGAGTGGCAAAAAACGCATGAAAAGAGACTTTACAGTAAAACCAAACCTTAATTAACCTCATTCTCGTGAATGGAGTCGCGAGAAAGGCACTTTTTCCTCAGATACGCACAGGATAAATAGCTATCAGGCTGCCTCTTCAAATAAAACATGCTTCATATAAGTCTTCGAGTTTAATCATATCAGGCGGAAGATGATGAATTAATAATCAGAGATCCCAGCAAAATAGATGTGTGGTTTCTAATCATAAGCATATATACTAAACTACAAAAGGTGGTGCACTCCTTCAGCGTATAGGTTACAAACTTGCAAGAGAGATTTCAGATGGTCTTTCGCCTCCAGATTTACAGAATACCGCGTCCCCTTGCGAAGGCACTTCTTTTATGCTTTTGAAAGTCGGGGCTTTGGATAGTGTTGAAGCATTTTTTAAGACATAGCGACTGGTTTCCGTAACATGTAAAAAGTAAGGCAAGGCATAATAAACGAGTAAGCAAAGATAAGCAACTAATGCTGGTAGCTTTTTCAGTATTAAGCTGAATTACAAACGAGGGCAAGACGAAGTACGTCAGAATCTGGACCTTTTCGAATCTGGACGGTAGCGATATAGCAATAGACTATATTATTTAGTTCCATCTAATAAGTAATATTTTGAGACAGCCTATAGATCATATATATGAGATATAGTCTTCCTATCTAGTTTAAGGTGAGGAATGACCGATAGTTGAATTTTTCCATGATCATATAAGTAAGTCTAATCTGCACTCCAACCTGGATAAAAATACCATTTAGGAAACAAGGCTATATCAAATTCAATAGAAACGTGAGACCTACTTATTTCGTTGTTGGGAAATTCGAAAAACGGTCCCTCACTATCT